CATTGGGTCGTGTTCTGCGGAGGAAGCTGAGGCGTGGGCAGTCCTTCAGGGGCTCCGATTGGCGGCAAACCTCGGGGTGCAGCAGCTAATCGTGGAAAGCGACTTTGCTAGCATTGTTCAGGCCCTCAGTTTGAGCTCACATGGTATGGGTAAAAGGTGAAATGTTCTGCTGGCCTGCATACGGGAAAGAGGTAGATTTGAGGACGTGCAGTTCAGGCACATAGTAAGGGAGCAGAACCGGGTCGCTGACGAACTTGCGGCCTCTGCGCTTGCCCATGCGTTGGGCACGACGATCCTCGTTTCTCCGCCGGTGGCGGTACGATCGCTACTTTGGGAAGACATGGTTGGAGCTAGAGTTCACCGTGGAAGCGCTTAGCGTGCTCTTGGTAACATGTAGTAGCTAACCCCGGGTTTTTACCCTCCTTTTGCTCCCAAAAAAAAAAAAAAAGAACCTCTTTACAATAATTTCCCACTTTAGTTGCACAACCTATTTGACCCTTATTATTAAAACTAATTTTTTTACGCGCATTACACGATTAGGATAATGTCTAATATTTTATTTTTAAATAAGTACTTTAAAGTATATGAGTGCAAGATTATATTGGAATTGTTCATGTATAGATAATTGAATGTTGAATTTGCGTATTTAAATAGGTAATTCTAAGTTTACACATGCAGGATAATATAATCAAGATTGATTATAATTGTCAATAAAATAATTGTATAGATATGATTGAAGCCAAAACTCATCAATCCTATATATATTACATCCTATATATTATTTTGTTGTATCATACAATGACTACTCGTGAATTTTGAGCAGTCTTGCGGCACTTGTCCTTTATCCACTGAAACCCAGACCACGCCCCATCCTTCACTTTCTCCACGCCTTTGGAACTTAGCACCATAATCTTGTCCAACTTCTCGCTCTCCTTAATCCGTCGAAACCCCGCCGAAGCCGCAACCTTAATCGTCTCCAACTGTTCGCTCATCTTGCTCGACAACTTTGAGGTAAACCCACCGCTGTCTCCGCTCGCCTGCTCGCTGCTAAGAGTTTCCGGATCCCATGTTTCTGCCCGCCGGCGGCCGGAGAACGAAGACGACGACATCATCGTTAGTTGCTGGTTTAATCTGATATATATGGGTTAAATTAACGTAGGAAGATGGGTGGATGGATAGGTGAAATGGGGTTTATATAGAGCGCATGGAGGCGTTGCCGCCGCCGCCTGGGAAAGTTCGATGAATGAGAATCTTGGAGAAGTATACGCTGTCATGGTTGACTCTTCAGATCAATTATCTAATATGTTTCATTCTATATTCTAGAATAGAATATTCTTTAAAATATTTTATTTCAGAAAATAAAATGAAATTCTTATGTATAGGCTGTCATGGTTGACTCTATGACCTCCCACATTAGTACATTACGTATGTAATATTGTGCGGATGTTTCCTATTAGAGTAACCTCAAAAGCATGAGTTTTTTTTTTTTTTTTTTTTTTTTTTTTTTTTTTTTTTTAAAGATAAAAGCATGAGTTTTTTTTTTTTTTTCTCTAGTTTTATGAGGTTAAACATTTACTATTTTACTTAGTCTCAAAAATTATTTTTTTTAACCATTTGAATTTTTTACAAGTTTTGTATGGACCCATCATTTTACACAAATTATATTTTAACTATTTTAATTATTTATTATAATTTTTAATTCGTAATTTTAATTAAAATTAATTCTTTAAAATAAACATATCAATATTTATTCGATTGATAATTATAAAATTAAAATTAATCTACCAATTGCCTAAAAATTAAACCGACTACAAAGTTGTTAAAAGAAAAATTGAAGTGCATAATTGCAGGATTTTTTATTTATTTATTATTTTTTTTTACAAAAACCCACACTTAGTTTTTAGCTTTGAACCTCCTTGCTAGCAACATCTCAAAAATAAAAATCAAATAAGTGTGATCTTTAGTTAACGACCACTCTGATGCGTCTAGGCAGTCTAGCATGCACGTGTTCAAAACACACCCTTTGGGTGAGGCGTGTGTCCACACAACTTTTTTTCTTTCTTTCTATCTCTTACAAAAAGAAAAATATTTTACAGGATTGTAGGAGATTTTTTTTTTTACAAAAACCCACCATCAATTTTTAGCTCTGACCACCCCCTCACTCCACCCCACCCCAAAATAGTGATAGTGCGGATGCTCTTAAGACTTAAGAGTGGTGTGTGGTGGGGAAAAATTATGTAATATTTTGTAGATATGTTTCATATTAAGAGTGGTGCGTGCGTGGTGGGGCAAAATTTTATTATCTTGTTGCTTGCAGGAGGACCACGTCTGATTAAATTTGAAAGTTGAAGGGGCATGTGTGGTTAACTTGGACCATATATGGTAACAATTTGAAAGTCAAAGGACCATAGGCGGTCAATTTCAAAATTTAGGACTAAACGTGGCAAGACTACTATACTCGGAGGACTCATATATATATGGCATATTTTAAAATGGACTAGTGGTTACTATTGAATTAGTAGCCGCGATCATAGATGCAACTTTATATGCTTCAAAGAGCATATACAACTTCCTTTTCACCCTCACCCCCCCCCCCCCCCCCCTCCCCCAAAAAAAAATTTCATTTTCACAAGATCTTTATTTATTTTATTTTATTTTTTGTAAAATACATTCCGTTGCAAAATGGCGATGGAAAAGACAACGGAATTAAATCACGTCGCGAAGTATTGGCGCCAAAATATTTAAACAAACAAGAAGTTTCTTAGCTAACTCATGACCATTATGCAGAGGAGGCATATCAAAAAAATTGACAAAATGAAAAGTTTAACTTTCAATTGTTATCAATATAAACTTTGAGTGGTCAATCGTGTACGCCGGCACCTATGGTCGTCCGGAAATTGGCTGGCCTTGCTGTTTCGGTATTATTTTTCCAACACAAAGCCATTGGACTTGAGAGGGCGAATGCGATTAAATTCATCAGTTACGGAATTAATTGTCTATTAATTCTAATTTTTAAATTTAGAATTTAATCTCATTTAGTGGCGGGCTGTTTCAGGTGTTACAAGGCTGGTTTAATGGCCATAATGAATGTTATTCATTTCTTCATCCCTATATAAGAAGGGGTAAAACGAGGAGGTTTTTGTGAACAAGAGACACAACACACACACCAGATTTTATTCTCTCATCAAAACTATGCTCCTACTCCTTCTTGTCGACTATGTCCTGCCCGTGCTCTAGTTCGTCGGGTTCTTCGTTTGGGTGCTCAAACGTTGAATTCGTGATACTCGGCGGAGTGGCTGTTGGGTATGTAGCCCATGAATTCGTGAAGAAAGGTATCTCTCCCGGTGAACTTTGCATCATCTCCAAAGAAACTGTATGAATTTGTTCTCAGTATCCCCACCGCATTTTCGAATTGCAGCATCAAGAAAGGTAGCTCAAATGGAGTTGTTAACTATTTTATGTTTTTTTCTTTGATTTGACGATAATACTCTTAAATTTAACACTCACTTAACAGAGAAACTAATAGAGAACTATTTGTGGTCAAAAATGAAAGTTGAGGTATGTGTTTTGGTCGAATTAAAAGTCGATGACTAAAAAGAGTACTATTCCAATAGTCAGAGGGCCATTTGTGGTATTAACTCTTAAAATTATTCTTTTCAAATTTCGAATAATTTTTTATGAAACTATATTTTAAACTACAAGTTGATATAAAATTGCATTGACTTTAAATAAATGAAATTGCATAACTTCGTTTTTAATAATAATAATAATAATAATAATAATAATAATAATAATAATAATAATAATAATAATAATAATAATAATAATAATAATAATAATAATAATAATTAGGCATAGTTTATTACAATAATTTGTTTTTTTATTTAAAAAAAGTCCAACTCTGCAACTCACATTAACTGTAAGTAACATGTCACTATGATCAATTAATCATTGTTTGACAAAGTCCAACCCTACCCTTTCTTTATAATATATTTTGATTGAGTTCTTTTAATGTTACATACACTTGGTATTGATAAAAATGGCGAGAATAATACTCCGTATCATGTCAATGCTATTAAATGGATTATAGCTTTAATATATATTTTTAATTTGAGATAACCATAGATAAGTTGGTCACTATTGATTTAGTAACTCTAATTAAGTTCGTGAATTTTTAAAAAAGTTCGTGAGTTACTTGAGCTGAGTTTTAAGAAGTTCAAATTTGACATGATTCATTACTTGAACTACTTGAGATTAAACTCAACTTAACAATAATCAAATCAAATTTGTGTGGGATAAGGATCAAATAGACGTTTCAACTATATGTCAAAGTGCAATTAGGCCCCTAAATTAAAAAATTAGACACTTAAAATTTCTCATTTTTATGCAATTAAGTAAATTAAAAAAAATTTCTAGGTAACCGATATTTTTTTTTATTTCAAAAATTAATTAAAATTAAAAAAATTAATTCAGATAAAGTAATTAAAAAAAAAAAAAACATATGGCGGTTTCACCGTCCAACCGAACAAAGAAGCCTACCTGGCTTCAGAGGCCAGATTGCTGGCTTCTACTTGGAGGAGAAGTCGACAATCTGTTTTGTTTTTGTTTTTTTTTTTTTTAAAGTTTATTTTTAAATATTTTTTTAAAATTTAATTTTACCTGTTATTATATTGAGTTCACTTGCAAAATATGCTAATTGAACAACTTTAAGAAATTAATGGCTAAACTATATAAAAGTGAAGAGATAAAATATTTAATTAATTTTTTTTTTAATTTAAAGACTAATTACACTTTGACTTATAGTTAAAGAATCTATTTCAGATCCTTATCCTAATTTGGTAGCTCACAAATAATTTCGTTCATTTACCCCCATTTTCCAGAGTGATAAAAAATAAAATAAAATACTTATCACAAGTCAACTCGTCAACCCCCTCCTCCACCTCAAACTTCCTCGCTACTTATAAAGCTTCTTGCTTTACTTCAAATTCAGTCAATTAAACTCAAATCCAAAATGAAAGCTTATATATTTCTTGGATTTTATACTTTACTCCTTTCTTTTTCAAGCACTCTAAATCTAAGTAGTGCCCATTTCTTTCCAAACATTTCATCGATTCCTCGTACGTTGGTCGGAAATGGCAGCGCCGGCTGGGACGTTTTCCAGAAATATCTGGGCAGCCACACCGGCCAGAACGTCGCCGGATTATCAAAACTGAAGAATTATTTCCAGCGTTTCGGCTACATTAACGCTTCTTTAGGCTCCAACTTCACCGACGACTTTGACGATCTGCTCGAGTCCGCCGTCAAGACTTATCAGCTCAACTTCAACCTTAAACCCACCGGCGAGCTCGACGCGCCGACGATCCGGCATTTGGTCATACCCAGATGCGGAAATGCGGATATCGTTAATGGCTCGTCCGCCATGAACGCCGGCAAGTTTAAGGCGAACTCGACTGCCGTGCCGGCGCATTACTCCTTCTTTCCGGGCCGGCCGCGGTGGCCGCCGGGGAAGACGGAGCTGAGCTACGCGTTCCTGCCGGAGAATCAGCTCTCCGACGCGGTGAAGGGAGTGTTTGCTCGGGCGTTTGAGCGGTGGTCGGAGGTGACGCCGTTGACTTTCACGGAAACGGCGGCGTTCACGGACGCGGATATTCGGGTCGGGTTCTTCCGCGGGGACCACGGCGACGGGGAGCCGTTCGACGGCGCATTGGGGACGCTGGCCCACGCGTTTTCCCCGCCGAACGGGCGGCTCCACATGGACGGCGACGAGAATTGGGTCCTCGACGGCGACTTCTTGAGCTCGGCCGGGTCGGTTTTATCCGCCACGGATCTGGAGTCGGTGGCGGTTCATGAAATCGGACATATATTGGGTTTGGGTCACTCGTCGTTGGAAGGGGCAATCATGTACCCGACATTGCCGCCGGTGACCCGGAAAGTGGAGCTCGCTGACGATGATATTCAAGGGGTCCAAGACCTTTACGGGTCGAACCCGAACCCAAATGGTACACTGCCGATGTTGACTCCGAGTAACCAGAAGGACACAAGTGGCTCCGCCATTGTTTCTAATGCATATTGGGTTCATGAGTTTTTATTGCTTATTGTACTATTAGCTATATCTCTTTTTTAAACTTTTCATATTTATTTTTCACTTTATTGTTACAAAACGTGAGTGGTCGCACACTTTCATTCCTTTTACTTTTGATGTGCGCTCTTACATTTCAATATTCTAAAAATAAATAAATAAATTTTGATGTGGGATCTTACATTTCAATATTTGTTTTTACCTCTAAATTGTATGAGGAGTTAATTCCAGCATTAGTCCTCTGACTATCATGATTTTCCACAATTAGTCCTTGACTTTTAATTTGAACAATTTAAACCCTTGACTATCAAAAAGTTTCCAATATTGGTCCTTCTGTTATAATGTTGTTAAATGAACGTTAAAATGAGGGTTAAAAAAGTCTTTTTATGTCCCTTGCGTATAATACATCATGTATCTCCTCCATATACGCTATTAAACTCCATATACGGTTTAAAAAAAAAAAAAAAAACCTTTGTATCTGCTCTCTCTCTCCCTCGGCTTTACCCACCATCACCATCTCTCTCTCTCTCTTTGGCGGCAAGAGGCAACCCCATCAATGGCCACCAAAGCTATCGCCACCTCCATCCTCACTTTTCTTCACTCCCCCTCAGCTTCTTCTCCCCCTAGCCTTAAATTTTCTTTCCTTGCCAGCAATCACAGAGAACCACAGTAGTTTAAAAACAGAGATGGAAGTGGATCCGGCGAAACAGAGATGATAGCAGATCCTGCAACATCTTCTTCTCCTCCGGCGAGATCGGTCAACAGAAGGCAAGCTCCGGCGTAGCAGGTGGGCGGCGGCTGCTGAACCTTCGTTTTTACTCCTCCCTCCCTCTCTCGTCAACAGCAAAGACGGTTGGCCCTCTTCCCGGCGAAGGCAGCAGGTCCGACGACATCCATCTCCGGTGAGCAGCGACCTCCATCAATCGCGTATACGCTATGGATGTTAGATCTTCGTCCACCGCCTTGGGCTCTCTCCTCGCCGGGGGTGGCGACGGCGGCACCGGGCTCGGCGGCTCTTTCACATCGCCACTGACGCCGTATTCGCAGTCGCATCCACCCATCACCCACGCGTCCTTTCTTCTCTCTCCTTTTCCGCCATGGTCATAACCGCTTCCTTTTCCCCGGTGGTGAGGTCGGGAGAAATCATACGCTATGGATGTTTTTTTTGTTTTTGTTTTTTCACGGTTAAACATCAATAATTTCTTTCTTTCTTATTTGATCAGTAGCAATAAGAGCCATCGTGTGACCCCAGTCATGAAAACAGAACCAAACTAAAACTCTAGGAATCAACACCCATATCCATTGAAATGTCTAATCAATTGAACACACTACAAAATGGATTTTAATGCATTTACAATAATATGCAGCAGAGCTCTCCTCCCACCTTTTTGCTACCCCCCCCCCCCTCCCCCCCCCCCCCCCATCAAAGCATAAAAAAGAAGCTTTTGACACTTCCCTGAGTTTCCTCTTGCACACCTCTATATCAAAACCTTGTTCCTACGTCTGTTTGGAGTAAGAAGAGGAAGGCACACACTTGTTGCGGAACATCATGTAGCCGAGAGGCAAAACGACGCCGGCCATCATGATGACGACTCCAATCACGTACCTCAACAGGCTCGGCGGCTCCACCTCCAACACTGTCACCATAGGTAGTGGCGTTTGCTACAGCTAACACTGAGATCAGCTACCGAATCGGAAATACAGATTCTACGGAGATTGACCGGAGAAGAAGGAAGTGTTTTTTGTTGGAAAATACGTTAAGGGGTTAAAAGACAATTTTAGCCTTCATTTTAACGTTCACTTAACCACATGATAACGGAAGGACCAATATCGGAAACTTTTTGATAGTCAAGGGTCTAAATTGTCCAAATTAAAAGTCAAGGACCAATTGTGGAAAATCATGATAGTCGGAGGACTAATGCTGGAATTATCTCTTGTATGAGTGACTCTCCTATGAGGTCGTTTCATGGATTCTTATCCATGAAACGAGTCAAAGTCAAGATGGAAATGCAATATTTATACTAAAAAATATAATACTAATTAAGAATAAAGTGTTTATTACTTATAACCGAAAGTGTAAATTGTAATACTGTTGAGGAAAAATGTATTACTTTTAGAACAATGCTACAAATTCCTCCTGTATTTTCCTTAAAATTTTCCCTCCTGAGGTGGCATCATCTAATTAGTAGCTACATTTAATTTTTAATTAGTAGTTGTGTCAGCTAATTTATTGGCACCCCATGAATGAAAGCCACCTCATGGGAGAAATTTGGTATGAAAAATTAGGAGGGGAAAAGAGCATTTTTCTACATTTAAATCAAAATATAAAAATATTACATTTTTCCAAAATATATTACTCTTTTTCTTATAAGTAACAAACACTTTATTTCTAATTAGTATTACATTTTCTAGTATAAGTATTACACTTTCATCTTGATCTGACCCATGTCATCGATAAGAATTTGTAAAACACTCTCACATAAATTTTTGTCAAATTTTATTTTTGTCTTTAAAAGAATAGTTGTTTCATATTTTAGTAAAAACTTGATATTAGAATGAATAACACAAATCTTGATAACTAATTGAAGCATTTGGATTCCATGTTTATAATAGTTTATTGTGGACAACATTTGTATATTGTTAGGTTACAACTTACAAGTGCAGAAATGTCTATAATTAATGCAATTCTCACGAGTCTCGTTGTGATAACCAACTTTGTTACTTTTTTTTGAAAAACCCAACTTTGTTACTTGAATTTAGGTTTTAAAATATTTCTTCCCAAACTATTTGAATCAAGCAAATGATGTACTTCCAAAACTCTACAAAACTTATAGTAGTAGGGAGCAACCTCCTTTCAAATTTGTCAGATAGTTAGTTTGGTAATCATAGTTTTAAGTTAGACTCTTCGTGGGAGATGTCTATTAAAGTTGACTTCATCCATAACACACTTTCTGATAGCGATTGCACGCTTTTCCATAAAACAACGACTTTGTGTAGTCTGAAAGGGTATAATAATTAAAAATAAATAAATTACATCTCAAGAAGTATAACATCATTTACGCCAAAAGTTATAACTAGTAATAAATGCGCAACTTTATTTCTTTATATTACCACAAATTTTCGAGATGTCCCTTTTAATCTCGTTACCAGCCTCCGCCCAACAAATCCCCAAATTCCCAATCATCAGGTGCTATACTTGACCTTTACCGACCTCCGTCCAACAAAATTGTTTGAAATCTTGAATTTTAAAGAGAAGAAACCAACCTAGGATTCTTTTACAACATTTCAATGATTTTTACAAAGAGTTGAGTAGGTGTATTTATAAACCTACCAAGGTACAAGCCATTAAAAAGTATAAGGTACAAGTAATTAAAGCACAAAAATATATACACACAACTCCTCACCCTTGTCCCCTACCCATTCTTCCCAAATGGTCAAATTTCCAACCCTAAGGGCCCCTCACATCCCAACCCAACAGAATATTTGAGAAGATATAAATCATGGTAACTCAATTGAACCATATAGGCTAGACCTTTGAGAGATTACTATCACATTGTCGCTGATGAGACTCGACCCTGATCATTCTTTCCAAACTTCATCCCTATGACCAATTGAGCTATTCATGTGGGCCCTTGTCCTCTACTCATGTCTTCTTCTTGCCTGTTGTGCTCATATCTTTTTCACTGGGTCGACAGATTTTTTGGTGCGTCTTCGACTTGATTTTATACTTTCTTAAACTCAAATTTATATTTTGGTGTTCTCAGAAACGTTGTGGCCTTATAAGTTAGTTTTTCAGTGTCCCTTGAATAATCTCAATTGGATCATTGTAGACAAAGAAATGCATACTAGACGATGGCCAATTTATCATCTTTATTTTGGGCCTTTTTCACCTTCAAGCCAGTTGTTATACGGTGAACCATGGTCCAGATTGCTAAGTGGACCATGATCGTCAAATAAAACTGTAGTAGAATTAAAATGATACTCCAGTGTTGTTAGAATGAAATCATTGTGTGTGGAAAATGAAACTAAAAAATATAGTTCATTCAACAACGTATATTGTCAAATGAAATTATAGTATAATTAAAATGATACTTTAGTGTTGTTATAATGAAACTATTGTGTAGGAAAAATGAAACTAAAATTCAGAATCATACAATAACATATATTGTCAAATGAACCTAGAGTGTAATTAAAATAGTACTTTAATATTAATATAATTAAACTATTGTGTGAAAAATAGAACTACAAAATAGAGTTCATGCAATAATATAGTAAACTTTGCCCCTTCAAGCTCTCTCTCTTCTTCTTGCATTATCTACAAAAAGTGAAATATATTCAACTACTATTCACTTTAAAACCATACTTTAACTCGGCAAAATAGTATAAGAGTAAATCATGATGACTTAATGATCTATTAGGTGAGAATATTAATGCATGGTGTTCACTATTAGGAAAATAATACTATGAAAATATTATTCCAGAAAAAAAAATAAAAAGCACAAGGAAGAAAATGAGAACTAGTTTTATAAGCTTGAGTCTTGTAATACCTACGCTATCTTTAAAAACCTTATTTGCTACCTCATTTTGGTGCTAGGAGCGTTGTAGCCTCAGTTACGTTTTCCAATATAAAACAAGCTACAACTTAGTGATTGAACACTCAAACAACTAAGGCCGACGAACTAGCTAGAACTTAGTTTTAAACACAGAATAAAAGGAGGAAGATGAGCAGGGTTTCGAGAGAGAAAGTTGTAGATTTTCAGTGTTGTTAAAATCTCATGTTCATCCTAGATATATATAGGAGGGGAGGATAAATAGCAATTAACATGACATTTAAACTGATATTAAAATCAATCTTTGTAACATTCATAACAAACAAAAATTTGATCTGCAAATTAATTTTAAAATTTAAAATTAGAATTTGTAAAGTATATCCGTTTGAATGAGCACAATTTGCGATGAATATCATGTGATCATCGTACTTGCCTCGTTAATGAAGCAATTAACTTTGTAGAAGATCTGTTGTTGTCTGTTACTGTGAATAACAGATCTGGGCCTTC